GTAACAATCGCGTTCCCATTTGGCGTCTTGATGGTGTGGTTCTAACCGTTCTCCTCCATGCGGGTCCTGTTGAGTTCATCTACTACTGGTTTCACCGAGCCCTTCACCATCACTACCTCTATTCTCGCTACCACTCACACCACCATTCCTCCATAGTCACCGAGCCCATAACTTGTACGTCCACATATAACTGATTTACGTCCACATATAACTGATTTACTTAAAGCACATAAAACATTAACGCACCTCTTACTCTTTCTCCGTTTAAGTGTCTATAACTTTTCAAAAGAACAAGTAAATTCTTGGATTATGTTCTCTTTACTATTTTAGTATTAGTTTTTACTTTATTTATTTGAACAGTACTATTAATTCGGTAAAATGGTTTTTAATTACTTTTACACTGAAAATTCAAAACAACACTTTCCTTGAAGGGTATGTGTACTAGAGATAGCTAAATTCTGGAAGCTTATTTATAAAATAAATGTAATAGCAAAATCGTATATATATAAGTGGTGTTAATTTTCAGCAAAACAAGATTTTCTCATAAATCTGTATAAACATTTAATATTAGTGTATTTAGTGTGGATGAAATGACAGTTCTTACAAAAAATGACGTTTCTTAAATAAAAGAAAGATTTGCATACAATATACCAATAATATTGTGTATGGTTTTGATTGCAGCGGTGGTACATCCTTTTGCTGAACACATTGGCTATACAGTAATCTTAGGGATACCTCTAATAACGTCTTTGCTATGTGGAACGGTCTCTGTAGCCTCGCTCTTCCTCTATTTAACTTACATAGATTTCATGAACAACCTGGGTCACTGCAACTTCGAGCTCATTCCAAAACCTTTCTTCTCTCTTTTCCCTCCTCTTAAGTTTATCTGCTATACCCCTTCGTAAGTCGTTCACAATTCCTTAGAATAGTATATATTTAATCATTACATGAGACTCCTGAGATAGTGTATAGTTTATGTTGTGTTTAGTAAGCAACGTTTATAGTGTTTTAATCAAATTTCACTTGTAGAAATTAACAAAAAAGTATTAAAAAAATGTACTGAAACAATGTAATATGACTGCAGATTTCACTCGCTCCATCACACACAGTTCAGGACAAACTACTCTCTATTCATGCCAATGTACGACTACATTTATGGGACCAACGACAAGTGCAGTGACTCATTGTACGAAACATCATTAGAGAAAGAAGAAGAGAAGCCAGACGCAATTCATCTAACTCACCTAACATCACTAGACTCTATTTACCAACTCCGGCTTGGCTTTGCCTCCCTCTCCTCGCACCCACTATCTTCTCGGTGTTACCTATTACTCATGAGACCCTTCACTTTAATCATGTCATTTATACTAACTTCCTTATCTTCTCGAACCTTTGTCTTTGAGAGAAACCGCTTCCGTGATCTCACCATTCACTCCCACCTCCTTCCCAAGTTCTCCTCTCATGTTTGTCTCTGCTCTCTCTTCTCTACTAGTATTTACGAGATATCAAATAACTTCACGTTTTGTAACTCATTTCGTTTGTTAATTTACAGTACATGTCTCGGAAGCATAAAGAATCTATCAACAAAATGATAGAGGCGTCTATCCTTGAAGCGGACAAGAAGGGTGTGAAAGTAATGAGTTTGGGGCTATTGAACCAGGCAAGCAATTAATCAATGCATCTTTGTAGTTCTAACGAGAGAGACTCTATGCATAAACCCTAATTAATATTATAATATGATTAGGGAGAAGAATTAAATGGGTACGGAGAAATGTACGTGAGGAAGCATCCAAAGCTAAAGATAAGGATAGTAGATGGAAGTAGTCTTGCAGCTGAGGTGGTGGTTCATAGTATTCCTGTTGGCACGAGAGAAGTTCTCTTTCGAGGCCAAGTCACAAAAGTTGCTCGTGCCATTGTCATTTCTCTTTGCCAAAATGGCATCAAGGTACCTACTTACATATATCTATATGTTTTAGTTTCTCTAGCTTTCAATACTACATATGTATAGGAAATATATTAACCCCCAAAAATATTTATATAATGTTACTTTTTGGTAAATTATACAGTAATATGTTACTTTGCTTGTAACAATTAATATGATCGAACGTAAATAAATAAGTAGTTTGATATTGAAACTTGAACATGCAACTAGGGGCAGATTAGAAAAGGTTTTTAGTTAGGCGTGCAATATAAGTATATAACAATGACAAAATAGGTTGAGAATATCTTCTTTTCATTTTTCTTTTTTTTTCCGTCAAGTTTTTGTTATAAAAGCATGGACCTAGTCCAAAGGCCGAAGCCCAACTACAGCACAACGCTACAAAAAACCCAACAAAATCCAGGTTAAAACATGAATGTCCTAAGCCCAAATAAACTACCATAGCAGTCTAACTGCCCAAACAAACCCACAAGACAACGGGCCAACAACAAAAGCTAAACGGGCCCTCGGCCCAGACTCAGAAACCGCACAACCGCTCTTTTTTTTTTTTTTTTTTTTTTTTTTTTAATAAAGATACCTTTTCTGAATAATAATGGGAAAGGTTTACAATGTTTGACATTTGAAAGAAGGAGAAAATAATAAAATTTAAAAAACTCATGAGAAGCAATAGTGGAGCAATTTTTTCGAGGTTTATCCCTGGATCTTTTCAAACCAGATAGAAAGGTAAGATGGTAGAGACTCTGGATTAACATATTATTGAACTGGATTAACAACCGCTCATTTTTCTTACAACAATTTTATTGAACTGGATTAACATATTATTTAAGAAAATCAAAATTAATTAAGGTCGCACCACGTCTGACTCTGATGTAAGACGTACGTTTTTATTAAGTCAAAAGAAGTTTCGTATAAACGTTATGTCATTATCTGTCTAATCAAATCCCTTGATAGCTTAACTTTTTTACACGTAAACAATGCCACATGGCCTACTTTAAGTCCAAAAAAATCTAGCAAACTATTCATAATCAATGTTTTATACCTTTGACTTAATAGTTAGTTCATATTTTAAAAATCTTCGCTTTGGTTTAATTTAATTGGGACCCAATTAATAAACTATTTCCATAAATAGGTGATGGTGTTACGTGAAGAAGAGTATTGCATGCTAGCCGGATCCCTTAGCGGGCATTGTAAGGAAAATCTGGTGCCGACAATCAATTACTCTCCAATGGTACGTGTAAAATGCATATGGCATTAATGAATAATAACGTACTAAGTACTAACTCATACGCAAGTATTAACCATGTAGATTTGGCTGGTGGGAGATGGCCTACGTAAAGAAGAGCAGAAGATGGCAACAAAAGGAACTCGTTTTCTTCCTTTCTCTCAGTTTCCTCCAACACAACTTCGAAAAGACTGCTTTTACCATACCACTCCAGCTATGATCATCCCTGACTCTGCCCATAACATCGACTCTTGTGAGGTATGTACATCTTTTTAAACTCTAGAGAAACTATATTACAACTAGTTAATTATGATGTATGACACGTTTTTATACATATAGAATTGGCTGGGGAGGAGAGTGATGAGCGCGTGGAGAGTTGGTGGGATAGTGCATGCACTTGAAGGGTGGGAGGAACACGAGTGTGGTCTTGATGAACCAGTTGTTAAACCTCCCAGAGTTTGGGAAGCTGCTCTTCGAAATGGTTTCAAACCTCTGGTTTTGCCGTCTCTAAAGACCAAAGGATTGAGCAATGGATACTAGTAATCTATTAACGGAATGTTGTAACGGAGACGGAAAGACAATGTAAGAAGTAAACCGTAGCTTTTGGCGACTGGTTGCATTTGTCAATTCACTTGACCCCTTTATTTTAAAAAATAATAATAAGGTTGATCTGGATTTTTGTTTTGTTAAGGTCAGTTTTAAATTAATTTTCCGATAAAAAAGTTAATTATTCGACAACTGAACCGGATAAGGATTGGCCTAAGCCCGTTTCAACTGTATTGATTTCATAGGAGAAGCTCCCAGAGGGCCTTTTAAATTGTTTTTTCTGGATTCAGCTTCTCTGCTTGCGAGTTACAATGATGAAAGCAAAAAAGACTCAGAAGACATGGCCATATGCGAGGCACGTGATCCAGTACGTTATGACGTGACTATTAGTAGGATACACTATCTATGTAGATACCAAACCAGACGTCGAAACAAAAATACTATTTTATCTTATGATTATTATCTAGTTGACAGAAAATGTAATTTAAATATTTAGACCTCTTTGATCAAAAAAAATATATATATATAGACCTCATCGAAAGCCCATTATCATTATGGGCCAATTGCAAAAGAAATTTAAAGGAAAAGGGTTCTCGTGAAGGAGATGGGCCACCACTCCAGCGCCTGGACTCTTCTCTGTGTATAGTACACGCGTGTCGAAATCAAAAGCCGCATAAACAAAATCGACGGTTTATGTGTCTGCGTAGCGTTCACGCTTGTACGTGAAGTAAGGTTCAATTATTTATATTTTATTTTAAAAAGTTTCCAGTTCCAGATATTACGACCTCCGAGAAGGGAAAGAGCTATTTTCCCTCATTTTTTAAAAAAACGAGGAAAAGCTCTCTTAACCGATCTATGTCTGAAGAGGAAGTGGATAACAAGAAGCCATCTGAGATTAACAGGTTTTAGTTTATTATTCTTATTATTTTGTTACTTTAATATGCGAGCCTCAATATTACCTAGAGGTGATCAAATATTAAATCTCTATGTATTATCTGACAATGGATAACTAAACTTGCTCTATGTATTATCTCTCTTCCTCTTCTCAGTTCATAAAGAAACATAGATATTGATTTATAACTTGTATGTATTTATGTCATCATGTGATCATGTCAATTGTTGTGATTGAGAGTATTGTCTTCATGTTAGCTTTATTTTAATAAATTTAAAGTTATTCCTAAACCATAATCAAGTTCAAGATCAACAAACTCGATTAATTATTTGGTGATTAAGATACTTTTCTTTAGAGTGAAATTCTTATATTTTGATCATTTGTTTGTTGTTTGTTATTACTTGCAGTTTCCATGACATGATCAGTAGTAGTAAACATGTGTTGAATATGGAAGCGGTTGAGTTCAGCAAGAAGAGGAAGTTTCAGACAGATCAATCGGAGTTATCATTATTACCTCTTTCGAAGCATACTTGTTTTGCAAATAGTTACGACAGTATCAATGTCAGATCAGAGCTTGATACAGAGTCTTATGTGAACTCGACTTCTATGGAATGTGAAAATGAGACTGAAATGAAAGAGGAATCATCAGGATCGTGCAGTGAAGACAAGATGATCTCTTTTGATAGCCATCTTGATTTCATCTATGGAACCCAAAACCTAGAGGATTTTTCAGACAAAGACATTGAAAACATTCTCTATCTTGATGAAGAAGAAGAAGCTAAAGGATGTAGTAGTGCTTCTAACTTTGTTCTGTCCTCTGGGAGATGGACTGTTGACCGAGGTAAAAACCGACTTTTGGTCTTGTCCGTACCGGTTTCAGAACCGGGTACTCGCTAACTTGGTTTCATGCGTGCAGATTCTACTCAGCATGGCACAAAGAAGCCTACGATCGATCAAGAATTCGAGCAATACTTCTCAACGCTAATGTTGTGATAAAATGTTTTGAGACTGAAAAATATAAATGAAGATGTATACAGGAGCTATTTTGATTATTTAGTCTCTTATAGTTTTGATTCTTGTGAACAATAATACCTTCATTTCAAAGTGATTAGAGAGGTGGTTTTGAAATGTTTGTAAACAGGATACAAAAATAGTATTGGGAGATTCATCATGTAGGTTATAAGAGAACAAAACACTATACTCCCAATACTATCTCAAGAAACTTGCTTGCCCAAACCTTCATTGCAAATTCACAAGGAGTATAATCACATCCGCATTTGAGGGTTTTCCAAAGAAAATTAAATCTCTTGCAATAGTATATATTTTATTATAAGAGTACTAATATTTTGAGAGACAACAATGTGGTGGATGGCCTGAATGTTCCTTCCGTTATGAAAATCCAGTTGGGCTTTTGGGCGTCATATTGTGAAAGATCTTACACCACTGCTCATATGTTTCCTTCATCTGTTCTCTCTCAACCATATTGTTTTCTTTATTAGGTTATGTCTAAAACCATATAGTTTGCTTGTGCTGATGATAAGAAATAACCCTTTGCAACTCAATCTCCAACTTCCAAGATTTTGATTCTCTGTAAAAATAATGAAATTAGTGATTTGAAAGCGACACAAAGGTCATATTCGAGAAGCGTAGCCTTGTAATCGTCCTTTCTAATATAACAAGTGTGTATGCATTTCTTTTCTTTCTTTTTCATCAATCACGTAGAAGTTACACAAGTCGCCATTGTGAAGGAAGGAAATAAAATATGAAATTATTGATGCGAAAGGAACAGAACGGTCATTTTCGAGAAGCGTAATTATACATACAAGTCTTATGAACTTGTGAATGATGATAACAATGGAAATGAATTAACTCGTTCCACACGCCACGTGTGTCACCAAAACAATCATATGATGAGTTCTAACTAGGTGGTACATATTATTGGTGAAAACTGACCGTTCGAAACAAGAAATTGGTACTATGTTACAACTATTTAAACCTGAATCCCTGACATTCATGTTCAATTATCTAGATTTCAGATATCTCCATACTCGGATTTAGATCCTTTTTTTTTGCATAAGAAATAATAAAAATGTAGTGCAAAATATTTAAAAATTTAAACAGTATATAAATTGATATTTTAATGTAAATTCTAATAGATAAAAAATAAAATAATATGTTCCTTTTACTGACCCGATGATATCCAAACTTTGAAATCTGGATATCCTAAAAGTTACATATTAATTTGCAAGTGAATGATTACTAGGGTACCGGAAAGTCAAAGCCATAACTAATTGGAAAAGAGTGATGAATGTTATATTTGTAACTAACCGAGTTCAATAAAAATAACTTATCATAGGAAACAAAACCGTGTGGTACAAGTCTTCTTATTGATCAATTATCTTTTGATAGCTTTGTTGATCAATTATTGAAGGGTTAGCTCTAAAACAAAACACACAAAAACATTGATCAAGAATAATAGAGAATGAGAAGGTGACAGCTCATCGCCTTAAAATGTTTTGTATTTGGTCTCTCATCAATCATCACATGTTTCTTTAGTTCAAATTTGGTCGTATATCAATAGCTAGCTGTATTTAGCTACACCACCACACACATGCTTCCAGTGGAGTATATACTTTATAGTTGTGTTACTATTCTCAATTCCTGTAAAGTATAAACTATCAAATAAAGTGGTAAAAGTCGTTCTGTACTAGTCGTAAGAAGCAAGACCTTTAACTAAACCATTGCCTTTTAAAATTTGTTATTTTGTTGTTACTCTCTGCAACTATTCTTTTAAAGATAGTCTGGTGCAACTAAACATGTAGAGGTGAAATTTTAGATATACATTACTGAGAATAATTTCTAGTGGCATCTCGCAAGCGACGAACCGATAATTTAAAGGTAGATATTTGGGTTCAGTGTTCGGCTTGAACTTTAACTTTTTCATATTACAGACTTCATCAGATAAAATATGTATATTATATAGTTGACAAATAGATGATAAGCTTTGTATAGTCAAAAGGTATCGTTTAGTTCCGATTGAAGCAAAGAAAATTTCGTATCAAATTGAACACGTTACGTAACTGTATAAATAAATTAGTAGTAATATTACAGAAATTATGAGAAATACAAAAATTAGAAGCATTCGCCATTCTGTACTTAAAAGAAAAATAAGAAATGAGAAGCACGTAACATATAGACGTGAAAAAGTCGAAAACCACGTTTGGCGTTCTCCTCTATATAAAGCCTGTTGCCCTCTAATCTTTCTCCTTCCCTTTCTTCGCCTATTTGCCTAGTTTGGCTCTCACCATTTGTCATCTGCGTTTTCATTAGCTGTGTCTCTCTTGCATCAGGTCCGATAATATATATACTTCTTCCTTTCTTTCTTTAGTATCTTCTTTCTACATTTTAGGAAACGACAGGTTTATATATGCATTTATTCAAGAGTAATTAATTATATTTACTGTTTCTAATTCTCTTCATACATATGATAAAACTACATTGTGACTAGCCTTTGTTAATTGATATAGGGAGTTCCCAACCAGGCCAATATTTGTAGTTGACCAACCTTATTTTTAATTTTACAATTTCGTTACGTTTTGATTATTTCTCTTTCTTTATTTTCCTGTGTCAAAGCATACCATTTTGTTTCCTAATGTTTTCTGATTTTTCAGTCAGATATATTATTCTTTTTTTTCTTTTACTTAAATATTTTTTACTTTCTTTAAACGTTTCAATCATGTTTTGTTTTAAATAAATGTGAAATCAGTCAAACAAAAACATAATCACCAAACACACGGAGAGTTTAACTTGCAGACTTTGGCTGTTTCGTTCCCACCATTTTTTGTCTGGATCTCTTTTTCATCCTCTTCTTTAACTAAGCATGATGTCACTAAACTAAGAATCTCTATTATAAAAGGTTCCCGAGGAGTGAGTAAAACCAGCGACTCATCAACTTAAAAATGGAGACTGAGTACCCCAAATACGATACCCTTTTATTTGGTAAGAGGCAGATCGCGCTGTTTTGTTTTTTTCTATGGAAAATTACTCTGTTTTGTGTAATTTTTGTGGGAAATTTTTGCAGATCTTGATGATACCCTTTATCCATTGAGCTCTGGGATTGCTAGAGAATGTGGTCAGAACATCAAAGGTGAGGTTTTTTGTTTCCATATTATTTCTTGTGGCACAAGTCATGTAAGTATTGAGGCTTTAGGGTTGAACTTTTTGGTAGATTACATGGTGGAAAAACTAGGAATCGACAAGCGTAAGATCTTGGAGTTATCTAATTCACTTTACAAGAATTATGGAACTACCATGGCCGGTCTCCGAGTAAACCTTACTTCTCTCTTTTACTTCAATTAAACCACTTGAATTACCCCATAGGTTGATTCTTGATCAAGTTTGATCATAATTATTTTCAGGCCATAGGTTATGACTTCGACTACGACGAGTATCACAGGTAATATATAAACTCTACCAATAATATAACAATTTTTTTATATGATGATTCTGAAATTTATCTTATTTGCTATAAACAGTTACGTGCATGGGAGGCTACCTTATGATAACATCAAGCCAGATCCAGTTTTGAGAACTCTTTTACTTAGCCTACCTCTTCGCAAAATCGTAATGTTCCTTTTACATCTCATCATGCCTAGAAAAGTTACACGTACAGATATATATGAATGTGTCACTATTTTTGCAGATCTTCACGAACGCTGACAAGTTACACGCAGCTAGAGCCCTAGAGAGGCTAGGGTTAGAGGACTGTTTCGAAGGAATAATTTGCTTTGAGTCAATGAACTCTACTAACCGCGACAACATACATGGCAATGATGAGATCTTCGACATCATCAAATATCTATCGTCTGATCATGAACATCCACTTTCCGGTTTGCCTAAAACACCAATTGTCTGTAAACCATCCGAAACCGCCATAATAAAGGCTATTGAAATCGCCAACATTGATCCTCAAAGAACCGTGAGTGTCAAGCTCCGAATCTTGTAGAGACTTGTTAATTTTGTTTACTTAGACATTAACCGTTTATATGTCTTGTAGTTGTTCTTCGAAGACAGTGTTCGAAACATTCAAGCTGGTAAACGCGTCGGTCTTAATACCGTTCTGGTGAGTTAATTAAACGTTTATTTTCAATGGAGAGTGAACGGTGGAGATTAATGCGTTGTTTGAACAATGAATAGGTTGGGACTTCGCAGAGAGTGAAGTGTGCAGATTATGCGGTAGAGAACATCCATAACCTAAAAGAGGCTTTGCCTGAGCTTTGGGAATCGGACGCTAAGCCTGAAAATGTTAGGTACTCCGGCAAGCTTGCCGTTGAAACACCGGTTATAGCGTAATCAACACGCATTTCCTTATTTGGAAAATTCATGCAGAGAATTGATTGTTATAGTTTCTCTTTTGTAATAATCTCTGCTTTTTTATTTATTTTGTAAATAGCATTTCCTCTTATTATTATGAGTTAATTAATAAATAAAATATTATATAAGAAAATCCAAATGATGAGATGTTATACAGATGGTACAAGAAGAAAAGATACTCTATATATTTTTAAAACAAGGATGATTATATAAAGGAAACAGTAGCAATGCAGGAGGAAGAAATATTTGAAGCAGTCTCACACACTTATATAAACCTTAGAATGTATGAAAACGTTGACAAAAAATGTATGAAAACATATCAGACTTGGTGTTTACAATATATAGTTCTATTTTGGTGAAATGGCTATACAAATATAATGACATGTTTTTTCACGTTTCATATGAATTTCAGTGTTGTAAAGAATTTTAATAATTAATAGAAATTCATCAGCTCTAATGGTTTAGTTTCAAAAAAAATTTTTTTTTTAATAATTCTTATCACATTACACAAAGACGGAACAAAATAGCGGAAGTAAGGCGAAGATAATGTTGAATATAAGAATACTCGTTAATCTTAGCCTTCTTAACGATGTAATCACAATCTTCATAGAATTCAGTTTCAGTCGTTTTAATAAGTTTTTGATTACATTTTTGGCGAAAGTCAGGCTATAAATTAATTACACAAGATCGCACTTTTTGAGTGATTGTCCGTGGCCCATATTAAAACGAGGCCCGTTTCGAGCTTGAGTTGGAAATAAAAAGAAAACATTAATTCAAAAACCAAAGGTGACGTGGCGAGAATGAAACGATAAGGTGTGTCTCACTCACTCACTCACTCTCTCGTCGCCATCGTCTACCAAACGCAACTCAAATGGCGACGACGACATTCTTCCATCCACTACTTCCTTCTAACAGTTACAAATCCGTATCTGTAGCCTCACCGTTTGTCTCAGTTCCTCATTCCTCAGTCCCGTCTTCTTCGTCGTCTCTCCAGTTCCGCTCGCTTGTTTCAGTTGATGGGAGAAAGTTAACCGGAAAGCTCAGAAGAGTGTCCCCTATTGTTTCCGCCGCCGCAACAACTGAACCTCTCACCGTCCTCGTTACCGGTGCCGGTGGAAGAACAGGTTCTCTCTCTCATATTCTGAAATTGCATTAGAAGACTGTTCAATGGTTTGATTGATGAGTGTGTGGTGAAACAATGTGGCAGGGAAAATTGTGTACAAGAAGTTGAGAGAGAGGTCGGATCAGTTTGTGGCGAGAGGTTTAGTGAGGACTAAAGAGAGCAAGGATAAGATCGGTGGAGAGGATGAAGTGTTTATTGGAGACATCCGTGATCCTTCAGCCATTGCTAGTGCTGTTCAAGGGATTGATGCTTTGGTCATTCTTACAAGCGCTGTTCCTCAGATGAAACCAGGTTTTGATCCTAGCAAAGGAGGGAGACCTGAGTTTTACTTTGATGAAGGAGCTTATCCTGAACAGGTTACAACATTATGATTTTGTTTTTGTTATTCTTAACGGCAACTTAAATCTAGGTGTGTACCAGTAAAAAGATTCCGGAGTATAATATTTTGATTTAAGAAAAACTCTAAGTAACAAAAAATTAATACCGGGT